AATATTTAAAAATTTAATAGTAGACACCGCTATTGCCACATAATGGTAAAGCGTCTCCTATAAGTAAAGTCTGAATGCTTTTCTTGGCTGATTTTATGCTCCGTGTGTCAATACAAATTATGATTCATCGATTGAGATTCTCGTTCTCAACAGTTGGTAGCAGAGGATGGTTTTGTGTTGACACATGAGCAGAGATTGGACTGGCCGTTTAGGCGCAGACTTTCCGGAACAGTACTCTGGTGTAGGGCCCAAACAAAAGGTAAGGACACTTGTTCCTTAATATACACCACTGTACTGTTTCTCAGGTCTGTCTGCTTGTCACTGAGTTGTCTTAAGTTGTCAGCCATTGTTCATTGTCAGCTGTTTTTGTCCGTTTTGTCTAAAGGCTTTAGAGTTGTTCATAGGAGTAAAGTTAGAGTTAAAGTTTAAAGTTAAAGAGTTAAGTAGTTAATAGTCAAAGTAAAAGGTCGATTGGCTCTGCAGTGGGAGATGGTCCCCCCCCCCTTCTGTCGGACGCGGGGAAGGTAAAGACTAGGTTTTATCGGTTTTATCCTCGGGGAGTACTGCCCCCGGAAAAGAACACGTTAGCCAATCTGAGACTTTGCTTGAGAAACGTGAATGCGGTGAAAGCGGTCCACCATAGGAAAAAAGATGAGACAAGAGAATAAAGAGATAAGAGAATAAGATAAAGGTCGATCGCGGTCTGATCCTCTAAAGAGTAATAAGTGAAATAAGAGTTAAAAGAGGACAAAAATAGGAGCTGTAAAGCATGGATCCATTTCTGTGTAAAGCTGTGTGTGTAAGCTTCTGCCGCTGAGCAGACGTTATGTGTTTAAATGTACTATTTTATGTTTATTGCAATGTGTTTTAAAACCATGGTCAAGATTGGGAAATTATAATCTGTGGGAGGTTTTTGATTTTGTCTGCTGTGTTTGCTTTCCTCGCTGCCGTGCGAGCAAAACTGAAAAAAAAAGAGAAAAGAGAGAAGAGGTGATTTTTGAGCCTAAATTTTAGCCTAAACAGATGGAGGGTGAACTTGAAAAGGAAAAATATGATCCAAAGTGGGGCATCGGGCCATGGATTGGGCTCGGTGAGCAAATAGAAGCATTAATAACCTATTTGTCAAAGCATGACGAATATGAAAATAAGGGAGAAAGAGAAAAACAAAAAAAAAAGGGGCTAGAATACCTGGTGCAGAAAGGAGGCGACCTGTTAAACAGACAGCCTTTGGGGAAATATTGGCTGGACGGAATAAATGACACTGAGGGAAAACTGGTTGAAACTAAACTAATCCTGCACAATTCACTATATTCACATGTGGTAAAATTAACTGTATGAAGGATGAATGAAATTACATAACAGGTAAAATTATAAACAAAATAAAGTGACATCTAATGTGTTGAAATTCTAGAAATTTTTGCTTAGCTGTTGATGGGTTAAAATTTGAACTTAATGAAACTTTAAAAATGAGGTTTATACCAGACTTGAACTTTATCATGGACTAATCAATATTTTTCTCTCTCGTTATCTTATCAAAACATGATTCATTTTTATTTGAAACTTGGTCACCTTAAAATGTCTAAAGAGGGAACAGAATTGGTAAATAAATATGAGTATATGTATGATTCAAAGGGTGATTATGAAACAGCTCCAGATTCAATTACAGTTCATTACAAAATATTCTTGTCTCAAAGACAATTTATGATTCTAAATCCAGATAATTCCTTTACCTTACTTCAAAATGGCAAATAGTATGTTAGAAGAGGGATAATCACATTTTAGCTTTGGTTTAAAACCAGATATCATTTATTACGAGACTGTTTCATCTGGTTTGACATGTTTTATTTTATTTTCATTTTTATTGATATTGTTGTTTAAATTTTTTTCCTAATAACAAACCAACTAACCAACCAATTTACTAACTGAACTAACTGCTAATTTCGAAACACATGCGTGTCTTGGCAGAAAGGCACAAATTGGACATGATGAAACTTTTGAAGTGGATATGATAATAATTGATTATGTAAAAACTAACTGATTGAACAACAACTGGCTCACAACATTTGTGTGCCTTAAATTTTGATTGAATTAATACATGCAGCCAAGTCCAACAAAACATTTGATTTGAAACGCAAAGACATCTTACAGTACTGCATAATCTTTGTCTACATTTTTTGCTCCTCTGCCTAAATTGATCAATTTTTCTTTTGTCAGTTCAAAATAAACATTGACACTGCTTTTTAGGAAAGCAATCCAAATTCTGATCTGAACTCTTTCAAATAATAAAACTTTTGGCCTTTGCAGTACAGTTTCAGTTGGACATTTTAGACATATGTACAAAAAAAAAGAGTCTGAACAATATTTTGTTTGTTTTCTATTTACATAAGAAAACAAAAGGGGGAAATGATAAACATAAAACATTTCTGATAAAACTTTACATTTAGAACATTTCATTCTGATAAATCTTTACATTTAGAACATCTCATAGTCTACTTTCAATTCTACACAGAAGATTTGGAAAACTTGTGACACCCTGGAATATTTTAGTTTTGGAGAATAGTAACATGCAAAATTGCTTTCAAATTTTTAAATTATATCAACAGGGGGTGGGGAAGAAATAGACTCTAATTCCTAGTCGGTTTATAGATAGGGTTAATTATGAATTTATTCATTTGACATTGGTATATTGTGAGATTATTTAATGAGATCTTACAGTGCCTTCCTGCATGACTGAAATACAGAGTCATATAGAAGCTCTTACTACATTAAAATCTGTAATTTAAAATTGAATAGCTTCAATCAATATCTATGCCATGTTTATTTAAATATTCATGAATTCCCTGCACCTCTAATTTTAATTGTATAAAGTTACAGTTGGATGTAATTGTTATCATTGAGAAAACTTTGGTTAAAAGTACTATAAACTTCTACGGAGTCCCTTTAGGGAACACGGGGAAAAATTCATATAAAATGTGAACAACTTTTTAAATTCTAAAGAGAAAACTATACATAAATACAACACTCAGCAGTTTTGAAAATTATCAGGATAATGGTAACATTTTCATTAATGGTATAAAGAATATTTGATTACAGTTTTCTTTTTGACCTAAATTATTAAGGAAATTTAACTAGTTGTCTTAAAGCGTGGCAATTTCACAAGGATGCTTTTGTGTAAAATTGGACACTATTGAATTAATTATTTTACATATGCATTTGAATAACCAATTTCTGAAAAGTGTATGTAGCTGAAATACTAAATTTGGTTTACATTTTTAATGATCTTTGAGAGTTTAATTTTGATAGGAGTTGATTCCACAATCGGTTAATTCTGAAACATCTGAGGGTGAATCATCTTAACGCATTTCTATTTCTCTTTGGAGCTCAGAGCCTGAGGCAGTGGACCTTATCTGAGCAGCTCCAGTGACCCTGAGCCTGGCTGAAACAAAAAAAAGGAAATAAAGAGCCAACTCTTCATCTACGTCACAAGCTAAAGAAAAGACATTTAATTTATAATTGTGTGAGCAAAAGGGAGCATACACTTTTATTTTCTTAATTTACTTTGTGTTTTACTCTAGCAGATCTGCTTCCTGTGGTCTGACGGGGACCGTAGGGGCCGGGTTTTGCGGGTTCAGAACCGTGCAATGAGGTGATGAGATGGGGGATCGCCTGGCCTCGGCATCGGGCCTCCGTTGTTCTCAGCCACGCTGACTTGGACATTTGCACTTTCTACACATATGAATTGTGCCATCTTCTGCTGGACTGCTGTCTGAGAGCAAAGACCTATTGGATTATTCTTACAGCTTCTACAGAGGTCAGTGAGGTTGGATTGATTTTTCCTGTTGTCACCTGAAGGCGGAGTGCAGATTACAGGAACTCGCATTGGATGTTTGACTGTGATCTCTGAGGAAACACCTGGCTAAAGGACGAGACCCAGGCGTGGTTTCTGAGGGTCTCCTATGGCAGAAAAGACCAATGGCTTCTGCCCGATGTGAGACGGAGGTTTGAAAACGATTCATCTGCTGTATCTCTCCGTCTCTCCCTCTCCCATACAAGGGGGGGCACATACTTTGTCCAGATTGTTCTGCACAGCGGGACTGAATGCTGCCCTGGACAGATTCTGATGGGGCAAATGGAACATCACATGTAAAGTTGGACTGAGACTCGGAGGCAGTCCTGTCTGTTGCCATGGTTGGTCCTGGGATTTCCCTCAGTCTACAGGTTGGAGACAAAATGGCTGCCAACAAAACCTTGTAGCTCTTAATGATTTTTCTAGAATTTTTGAATTGTGTGATGCCACTTTTTCTCACCTGAGTTTATTTACAGCAAATTCATTATCTACTGCCTTTGCACTCTGACCTCTGCCATTTGATCCCCAGGATAAGTTAATGGTGCAGCAGGGTGTTAGAACTCTCTGCAGTTTACAGAAATATTGTTTGCCTGAATGATTATAACTCTGATTGTCCAACATCTGGCTAATATGTTTCTCTCCTCCAGCAGGACAACAATTGAAACAGGATAAAAGTACGGTAAAATTGTTAATTTCCTGATTTACAAAAGCACATCCAACCACACTTGGTCTAAGTTCTAGTTGGTTCAAATTACAGTGGCTACAAATATAAGGACTATTATTTCAAGTTATGACTTAAATTTATTTGGAATCCATTTCAAATCTTAGGAAAATCTACTCTTTGGAAAATTACTCAACCAAATTATGGGTTTACTGCACATATTTTCAATCAACTGTTAAATTCTTTCACTGAGGTGTAAACACCCTGGTTAAATTACATCCAACTGTTACAGTTAGCAATGAAAGCAAATTTGGGCTAAATGATTTTCGTGGGTTTCTTAGGAGTTTCTGTACCGAAACACTAAACAGTGTTCCGATACAGAAACAGGGGGAGATGCATGGAATTACTCTATTCAAGCAAATTCTGAGTTAATCTAATATATTGAGAAATTTTTCAGTTTTGGGCTTCAGCAAAATATAAAAGAGGCTAAATCAAAATTCACAAATGTTTTCATTACTCGAATGAGTTTCTAAAGTAATACTGAATATTCTGAATAGAATACATTAAAATTAACAATGTCATGTGTCAAATAGATTTCTACAAAATAGAGTTTAAATTGTTTGATTGCTGCTTCTCTCTTGCTATAATTCAAAATAATTTGTTTAACAAAGTCATGCAGAAAGGTCTAACCCGAACATCATATCATTTAATAAATCTAGTTGTATCAAATTTCTCCCCAAAACTGCCAAAAACATTGATAAATATGATCAACACTACAAAGGAGGGTAATTCAGTTAAACAAATATTTAATAGAAGGGTTTCAAGAGAACAAATTATTCAAAGGTTAAA